TTGTAGACAATCTACGATTTGATATTATATCATACTTGATCGTGCCTGTAAAAGTGGCATGCATTTTCATGTAAATTTATGTTTATATGAAAATAAAATTATTATTATTATTGCATGCTCTTCTTGATGGTAGTGAAAAGCGTTACAATTCATGACTAGCGTTTCCTGAATCTATGAGATTCCCGGAGAAGATTTGGGATCCAAAGTATCATTCTGTCTATTCATCCCACTCAAGTGTAAATGTTTTCTCGGCTGAAGACCAATACAACGGTAACTCCCTACAATTCTAAGTCTATAGTATTTTTCATTAAACATTAGGTGCTAACCTTCACTGTTCAAGTCCAATTGTCAAGCTAAAGCCAGGTAGTCATGTGTCTGCGTCATTCGTCATTATTATATCACGTTTGGTCTTTCGTGCACCACCACCAACCGTCATCGTTCTAGATTTCTTGTCCCGAAATAAATCTCTCATTTTGGACTCCCAATACGGTGTTTCGGAAAAGCAAGACAAGCTATCATTACTCTCAAATCTGTGTGGAGGTCAACACCACTCAGCATCAAAAATAAGATCCGGATTTTCAACTCCAATGTGAAGTCAGTGCTACTATACGGATCAGAGACTTGGCGAGTCATAAAGAGCATCTCAAACAAACTTCAAACCTTCAATAACAGCTGTCTCCGCTCAATACTCAAGATCAGATGGCCAGAAAAGATCAGCAACAGGGATCTCTGGGAGCGAACCAATCAGGAACCGATTGTGAAACAAATAGGCAGAAAGAAATGGAGATGGATTGGCCATACGCTGAGGAAACCATCAAGTGACATCACTAGACAAGCCATTGCTCGAGTGGAACCCGAAAGGGAAGCGGCGAGTTTGTCGTCCAGGGGTGACTTGGAGGAGGTCATGCGAGGAGGAGATGAAAGCATGTGGACAGACCTGGAGCAGGGTGAAAAAGTTGTCAGAAAACCGAAGGCAATGGAGGTGCGCAGCTGAAGCCCTATGTTCCTCTAGGAACTAAAGGATACAATAATAATAATAATACGGTGTTTCGACTCGCCTCTGGTCTCCGAAAAACAAAGAAAGTTGCAGGACAAAAGCCTGTATTTGCATACAACGAATCTCACGTAATCATCGGATTCATCCATTTCTCGAAAAAGCATGAATCAGCATCAGTTGTGACAGATGTTCTGTCACCCACGTATGGCATTTCGACAAAACATCGTCCAGAATCGAAGAGCATTTTTATCCCTCTCCTATCTTATGCATTGGTAACATAGGTATTTAAGCTGAGGTTCCCGGGTCCCCCCATAATGTTCCACCCCTGTTCGTTCCTGCTGGTTCCTCCAGCTGATATGATATGTGGGGTCATCTAAATTTGGGTTCATCTAACAACATACTCCAGAACATGACATTATAACTAAATGATCAATAGAAATTATCTCCTACGCTAAAGTAAACGCAGCAGAAAGACAGGCTATACCGACGACTGGAATGACAACGACAACAACTGCAACATTTACTGGACAAAATACATGGTACCTTATATGTGAGGAGGCGGAGAATTTACTCTAATATAAATTAATCTGACTGGTTGTTTGATATGAGAAAGTTAAGCCATAACTAATCCAAACAAAGCTGCCCAGACAGGTCATTATGCCAGTGCGTGGATGAATAATGAACTCACGGCCAACTTAGAATCACATCCCTCCTATCCGTGCTTTAGAACTGGTATTCACCCGGACTGCTGCGGCTGTTGTTGGCATATCCAAACGAGTTCCGGGAGATGGGTGATTTAAGAGTCCTCTGAAATAATTAGCCGAGCGTTTTTTTCTCGTACCTATGCCGATTGTCTTGCCTTCACCATCTTTCATCCATCTATTTTGGTATCTCTCCGACAACAACTTAGTTATTTGATGAAGTGTTCTTAGGAATCTACTACCTGTACCCTATTCTTATTCAATTGTATCATACCGGTATTTTTTATTTTCTCCAGAACTTGTCTCTCACCTCCTCGGTGTTCTGTGAATCGTACTCAACTTTCCCTTACATTTTAAATCTTCAAATTGGGCATTCCTTTCTTTCAGAATCTTTCTCCTCATTATCAAATTATCGGTATCCACAGACAGTCATTTCTCCCAAAAATTCTGCTCAGCCATGAGGTTTATCCAGCGTTATGTCTAATAATACCACCTCTAAATACTGGAGTTGTACTTTATATAGCATTTTGCATTTTGGGTTAATTACACCGTTTTTTCTCCATTAGACTGGTGTACATTTCTCGCTTCAGTTGACATTTTATTAATTGAAAAGTATTTCAGGTCCTCTTCTATTGGGCATTTTGCTAGGATGCTTAGGGGAAAACTCTTGGAAGGGAACTTGAAGGGAACTTAACCTAAACCTTTGGTTGATGAAGTTGTAGTGCACCTTGGATGTTTAAGCTTCTGTTTTAACGCATACATATGTTATGGCGCTTTTCCTGCTTGACTGCTTGCGAGTGGCTCCTTACTTCATTGTGCTATCATTAAGCATACGCCTTGGGCTTACTACTTCATCCTGTCGATGAATAAATTGTGTGATATTACTTTGTATTTATTTTGGTTTTTCACTCGTTATGTAAATATAATTCGTATCAGGGCACACAACAGTGCGTAAGTCTTTTACCTGGACTTCATTCATCAATATGTACACGGCAGGTAGTGTAATGATCACATTAGGCCGAAGAAGGGAAGTTTAGTAGGTGCTGACGTTAAGGCCTATCCAGAGGTCGGCTTAAGCAACTACGTTTATCCTGCCAGAATCTAACTTCCCTCTCTCAACTCAAGCCTTAAAATTTCACCTCATTTTTTTTTGATTTACAGCTTGATTCCACACTGTATTTTTGGTACTAGTATGGAATTTTCAGCATGGATATCTGTAGCCCAAATTTTGCAGGCCGACCATAGATATCAGGTGTGCGTCGGTGCGGGCTCGAACCCCGGACCATGTGCATGGTCGACGAGAGTCCTAACCACTGTGCCACTGACGCACAGTGGTGTTTGGTGTCTTGGTTTAATTTTTGCCTCATGCAGTGACACTCGCTGTTGTGTTTATGCTCTTTTTATATTGTTCGTATGTTTCACTTTGCTTACAACTTATAATAATAATAATGTATATTCTCATATAAACATATAAATTTACATGAAAATGCATGCCATTTTTACAGGCACGATCAAGTATGATATAGTATCAAATCGTAGATTGTCTACAAGTTAATAATGTTTCGACAGTTAAATATTTGATATATATATATATATAAATACACTCATTGTCTGAACTAGGCTGTATAGTTATTGAATTGTACAATTGTCCTCCAGGTTGAGCGGAAAGATCGACTTCGTTTCGTTTTCATCCCGTGGTTGTCGGCATACGATAACCAACCCTCAATAACTTCACTCACACACGTGACGTGAGCCAATATGCATACGGCTATGAAAGCCCCATGAGGTACAACTACCAGGGTAATCTTAACACAGGGTACCTAGGTCCAGCAAACTACAACCCAAATTGCAGGGCAGACCATATATCACCAGTAGATCAACGCAGATGCCGACCCATGGATGCTAATAGTCAAAATATGCAACAGGATTATTTTCGGCTGCAGCAAACAATAGCCCCACTCGCTGCACAGTTCATCCAGGAAATAGTACACACACTGACTCTGTCTCACCTCAGAGCCCCTCCAAACATAACGTAGGGATAGTGACAAGTAACCATGTTAACCTCTCCTCCAATAACTCTGGTTTACTAACAATTATGCTCCTGAATGCTAGATCTCTCCTTAATAAAATAACAACGCTTCGCTGCCTGGCATACATAGAACGGCCAACACTAATAATGGTGACTGAAACCTGGCTTACTACTGATATACCTGACACAAAGCTAGTAATAGACAACTACGACATCTATAGGAACGATAGAGTTGACAAAAGAGGAGGCGGTTGCTTAATATATGCCTATAAATCCACTAACTCCAATACTTTCAATAACCCAAATACTGACAAACTCCCAGAATCTAAGTGGATAAGCATCCACACAAACGAAAGTAAAATTCTCGTGGGATGTATATACAGACCCCCCAATAGCCCTGAAATGACTGATATAACTATTGCAGAAATACTAGAGCATGTAGCCACGCTGGACTTCGACTACAAAGTAGTATGTGGAGATTTCAACTTACCTGGAGTAAACTGGGATACCTGTACAGGACCAAGAATCCATGAAGAGCTACTACAAGCTATAGACATAGGAGGATGGAAGCAGTGCGTGCGCCTCCCTACAAGGAACCAAAATACTCTTGACTTAATCCTCTGTCATAACATAGAGCCCATCTCGATAGAGGTGGGAAATAAACTCGATAACAGTGATCACAACATATTGTACTGCACGCTCCCCTCCGACTAACAACTAAATACACACCTAAAAATTCCCCGGTGCGCTATCAATATAGGGACTATAAGAATGCTGATTGGGAATTCCTATCAGATCTGTTGAGAAGTTCTGACTGGGAAGAATACTTCATCAACAATAACTTAGAAGTATCACTTGAGATTTTCTACAAAACAGTTGGCTCAGCAAGAGACACAATCGCGCCCCTAAAATCTGCCCTAAAGACACCAACTCCATTTATTGACCGGAAAACGCGACTAAAACTAAAGAAATTGGAAAGGAAATACCATGTATTTAAGGAATTTAATGCGTTAAACCAAATACATGAAACTCTTAAACTGCTTGAAGAGAAACACAAAATGAAGTCACAACATGAGGAAAATAAAGCGCTAATGGGTAACACCAAAACTCAGGAACTTTGTAGGATATTGCAAAAACGTCTAAAAAGCAGTAAAGACAATAATGTAAGCATCTTGGAACATAGGGGTGTAATATACAACGATCCCCAGGTTATAAGTGAACTCCTCAGTGAGTGGTTTTGCAATGACACCAGAGTGCCCGACCCCAAATTTCCAAATGACCTGCAAAAGTAACCACAAATTAGGAGAAATAGATTTTAATATACAAAATATAGACTCAGCGATTAAGACATTGAAGTCAAATGGCAGTACTGGAACAGACGACATACCATCTGTCATATACAAAAATGGTAGCACGGAAATGGTAGTCTTGTTACTTAGAATATTTACTCTGTCACTGGAAACTGGAACTTATCCTGAAGTGTGGAAAACCACATACATATTACCTAAGCACAAAGCAGGGGCCAAAACCAGTGCATGCAACTATAGACCTATTAATATAACACCGGTAATATCACGAATAATGGAGAAAGTGGTTAAAGACCAAGTGTCAGACAACTTACTAGAACATGAACTTATCAACCCATCACAACACGGATTCCTCAAAAAGAGATCATGTGCGACCTGTCACATAGACTTTTTCAATGAAGTTACACGAAGCAGGGACAACAGAGAACTAGTAATTGTGCTATATTTCGATATAACAAAAGCCTTCGATAGAGTCCCCCATAATCTGCTAGTCAGCAGGTTATGCTCACTAGGGATATGTGACCCTCTCCTGAGCTGGATAAAATCATTTCTCTGTGACAGAATCAGATATAAAAGTTGGCTCGATAATCTCAAGGCCTAAACCTGTAAGTAGTGGTGTAATCCAGGGAAGTGTATTAGGCCCACTCCTATTCATAATATATATAAACAGTATCTGTGAATGCTTTAGTGTTGGTAAACCAATACTATATGCAGATGACTTAAAAGTGACCTATAAATGCAAGAACACAGATCTCGGAATAACAGTAAACGCCATACAGCAAGAATTAGAAAAAATGGATAGATGGTGTGACACCTGGCAACTCCAGTTTAATGTCGACAAATGTGGCTGGCTCTGCATAGGTTGCAACAATTTAGAACTTGACCTGACAATTCAAGGCCATGCACTTTACGACTGGAATCTGTATTGGACCTAGGACTGAAATACTCACATGACTTATCATTTTCTGAACATATCTCCAAACAAGTGTCAAAGTCACGCAGACTTATCGGCTTTCTACTCAGGAACTTTTACAGAAATGAGTCCAGAATTCTGTTGTACAAGGTTTGTGTGCGTCCTTTATTTGATTACTGTTCATTCATGTATAGTAGTATACGCATAGAGGACAAATTGAAAGTCGAGGGAGTGCAGAGGTACTTCACGTCAAAATTACTCGGAACCGAAAATGGTGCGAACTACTCCACTAGATGTGACACCCTAGGATTAGAAACACTATGGCTAAGACGCCTGAGACTAAACTTAACACTTTACTATAAGCTTCTAAACCACTTAGTTTTTACCTCTACTAATGGCATTCGACTTTCAGATGACAGTGGCTACAAACTAAGACACACTAAGGGTACAGTAGCTATCGAACAATGTAAAACAGCTACCAGGCAAAAGTTTTATTTGATTAGGTATGCACAGATATGGAATAAACTACCAATGGAAATGCGTCAAGCAGGTACATTGGCCTCCTTCAAAAAAGTGCTTAACGACAAACTACACGAGTTTGCAAACGACAGTAGTCCTAGTTCCTATCTGAGAGCCTCCGAAATTATAGGTCCATTTAATGTATAAGCTCAAATACTACACCTGTTGTTTTTGCCTATATTTATAATTTTAGATAAAACATTAACGATTAAGATACTTACCCTCAAACAGACAAGAAGTTTCGTTTGTAAAACTTCTACCCAACACAATAAGTGGAATAAAATGGACATAAACCGACAACATGAAAAAGGTATAACTCACCACAACATCACATGGACAGATGTACGCTCGTTGGGCATCATATATGCATCACCAACTACAACCCAACATTCCTGAGATAATGTGATGAACTTATATCCGTAATGTTGCTGAGCAGTCAATATCCACAACTCCTGTCGGAACAACTAAAATTCAAAAACCTTCCTCACGAGAAGTAAATACCCACAAGCAGTAGAAATCCATTAATTAATGCGTCTAAAGCTTATGTATTTTACTCCCAACAATGACATTGCAGATCAAATGAGATAAACAAATCACTGATTTCAAAATAACACATCAATGAACTATAATTCAAGGATTCTGCACAACAAAGTTGTGTATGAAAATTGACTTCAAGCTTTATTTTTTTCCCAGGCACTTATAACCCATCCACCAAAGACCTGGTTTTTTTGTTAATGCGAAGACAATACTTCTGTATTTCCTGATGTGTTGCACTCACTGACAATCTAGCGGATTTTTCCAACTATGCACAGAAATGATTGTACATAAGTGAAAAGGATGTTTTATACTATTGGGATTAACATTTATCAAGTGTATGTATAATCTCCAGTGTACATGTTAAACATATTTTGCTATCGACTGTAAATTGTGACTGAATAATATGGTCCTATTTCTGTAACAATTTGATGATGCCTGTAAACTGGCGTCCCTCATGTACTGTATCATGAGAATAAATTTATTTATTTATTTATTTAAAACGTTTACAAGGGATTGAAAGCTGTTCTTAGAAAAGTAAAAGTGCTAAGGTGAATCAATAAAGTGTAATGAAATGGGTAAGTGCAAGTATCAATGATAAATGCATTAATAAAGGTAACTCCCTAGGCTGACAACGTTCATTTGCAATGTATAATGCTTCCTGTACAGTTTGCTTTATCATGATGTCCACTTTTGGTTTTAATACATTTTTTCCTCATGCCGGTTTTTTTATTTTATGCCTTTTTGTGCATTTGGTGCGCAACCGTACCCTACAGAGAATAGGAATAGAATAAGTCGAATCAAATTCATAAAAAGCTATAATTATCTTCGAATGGCTGAGGAAAGTGTGACAACACAAATGGCTATGACCGTACGGCTTCATACCTCCTGGGCGAATCCACTAGCCGCATGGTTCTCCTATGTCGAAGCACATTTCGCCCTTCGACACACACATTCTCAAGAAATAAAAGCCAATTCGGTCACTGTTAGTCTTCCGGAGCATGTCACAGAAGACATATCAGATGTTCTGGAGGATACCTCTTCAAATTTTTGTGACCGTTTAAAAGCTGCACTGATTAAGAGGGCTGCGCTGACTGACCAGCAAAAAGTGCAGGAATTGTTCCAAAGCGTGCCGCTGAGAGACCGTACTTCCTCACAAATTCTTCGTGAAATGAAACAACTGGTAGCGGACTTTAGGATCGATGAGGAGTTTATGAAGCAGTTATGGCTTCAACGGCTACTTCAGATCATGCAAAGTGTCCTTGCACCATTTTATAAACCGTCGATAACCGAGCTTGCAGGAGCAGCCGACAGAGGCGTAAAAGTCACAAAACGCCCACTTATATCTCTAAGTCCTTGGCTGTACAGCCTCTGGTTCAAGACGATCATTCCAAAAATGATATGCCCTGTTTTAATATTCACTGAATGCATCACGAAATCTGCAGCCTTTGACATGACCTCTGAGATACGGACGCTTCGTGAAATCGCACATACCACCCTCGGAGAAGATCTGATTCGCTTCCATGAAGATAAAGGTCAAAATCAAGAGATACCCAGTCAGGAGTTTGTTGGTACCGTAGGCACCGGGGTGCCAACCGCGGACATTTAGCAACAGACAGTCGGGCAATTGGTAAGATGGCACGTGATGGCAACTAACGTCGATGACGAACCACTCCCATGTCACTTCTACTTTACCGGCCGCAAAATGGGACGCACTTCTTGGTTGACACTGGGGCAGAGGCTAGCGTGATTACATCCAAAACTTGGCAGACCTTAACATCGGCCTACATCCCTCATTTTGCTGGGTTTGTGGAGGATGTGACTACCAGTAACACCGGTATGGATCTTTCGCAGCACTATAAGTTACTGGTGGATACTGGGAAACACAAGCTAGTTGACTCATCCACAAAGTTCTCACTCTCCGGCACTGTCACGCACAGCCCCTCTCCATGCCCAGTGTACTCGTCCCCTGTCACTGCTGGCCCATAATCTGACATCCTCCAGTCTTTTGCTGATCTTTTCAAACCGACCGACAGAGTTCCGTGCGTAACTTCTGGTGTCACTCATCGCATTATGACGATCAGCCCGCCAGTTTTTGCAATGCCACGGCGGTTGTCGCCAGAAAAACTCCATGTGTTTGAGCTGGGGATATTCAGACCATCCAGCAGCCCGTGGTCTTCACCCCTGTATGTGGTACCCAAGAAAAATTGATGGACCGGGCAGCTTGCAGTGACTACCACAGGCTCAAAGCTCAGACTGCTCCAGGTTGTTACCCTGCTCTACACACACACACACTGTCTGACCTCGTATCTCAAGGGTACAGATGGTTTTCGTGAGACCTACAACGTAATCTCTGACACTCACTGACTTTCGTATGGCACATGGTCGATAAAGATGGATACGGCAGTTGCCCGAAAGAGTGCAGGCCATTAAAACTTCCCCGTACCATCATCACTAAAGCCTTGAGCAGACTTCTCAGCATGGTGAGTTACTGTCATTGTTTTTCACAGCGTGCTCACATTTTGACGCCATTGACTAATCTCCCGAAAGCTAACAGTAAGTCTTTTAGCGCACTTCAGAAGCCCTAGACTCATTTAATAATAATTTACTTTATCCTAAAAACAGTACTTATAATACAGAATAGAATTCTCAGCATTTGTCACAATATTGCATCTCATTTACTTAAAATATAAAGAAAACTAAAAATTAAAACGAAGTTTACCAGAGGAATTTGTCTACGTTTACGATATAGAGTCAAAAATATTTGAAGCGCGAACTGAGATCATTAAATATTATAACAACGATAGTAACAATAATAGTGGGTTTGTTTCAAACAGTATTGTCGACTAAGTTTGGAAATTTTAGCATGTCATAGATTATTGGATCTAATGTTCTGTTGATATAGTATAGTGAGGGGAAATACATAGACACGATGAAGTACCAAATGGCATGGATGCTTGACCGGAAGCCTTCAGCTAAACAAGTCGACTAAAACAGTGAGGGTCAGCATCCGATGTTTAGTGATGATTGCTATGGTCAACAATTTGGGGAATCATTTACCACTACAGCTCCATCCTGTGACCCTCCATAGCATCCCTTTAACCTCTAAAATTAATATTCGGTATAGGACTGCAGATTTGGTCAATGGAATCACACTCCGATTCCCCGGAAAGATTGTTTTGTCAGATAGTGCTGAGCCAAGTATTTCTGATGTCCACTGTTACACTCAGAACCTAAATCGCATTATGCAAAGACCCCAAACAATTCACACGCACTTAGTGCAATAAGACGCTGGACTCGGGGACTGCACCATATTTTCGTGCGTTGCGACGCCGCACATAGGCCCCTAAACTCCTTTGTGATAGACCTTTCAAGATTATTGATAGGAAAGAAAAATTCTTCTTTATCGTTCTGTTTGGTCCCCATGACACATTTAGTCTAAACAAACTTAAGGTGGCATGCATGGAAGAATCGTTACACTTCGATTCCGCTAACTCAGCAACTTCGTCTGAGTCTAAGTCAAATCCAGACACCGTAACTGAAACTCCTGTTGCCCACAGTATTTCTGCCGCAACGCCCAAATAACCCGTTACATACATACGTCGACGCACGGACGGTCGTAAGTGGTACCCAGAATTTGTTAAATAATCATTAACATTATTCAGTAGTTGCTGTCTATCTTCGCTGGTTACTGCAATTATTTTTATGCATACTAATGTC